TTCATCAGACATAAATTCTGTGATTTGTAAATGTTCTGTTGAATTTCTCTTATTGTATTAAATATTCAGTGTGTTTTCTAGAATTGTATTTCAATATCTCTGATGAATTATAACAATAACTTAATTACGATACAATTTGCTAATGGAATTATTCAAAATAGTTTAAAACCCCAAGAGACTTTTTAATTTCTCACACAAGCTAAATTGCATTTTTTTTAGTGTAGCAACAATCTCAATCAGTTATGACTAATTAATTACAAACATTAATTAAACTTGACGAGTTTTATACTTAGAAGACATTCTTTTCTAAAATATCTTGTTTCATCAAATGCTATTAATTTTAGAATTTGAAGGTTCAACTACTTGAATAGCTGAAATTTAAACTACTAAATGTTTGGTATCAAATAGAGACATTTTTATATTTCTTTGCTGTGAATTATATCAAAAAGTGAAGCAATTTCTGAATTATAAAGTTTCTATTACACTTTACTCTTTGTAACGAAATCAGAAGCAATGTCTAATCTCTTGTACATATTTGAATATCTAAAATGGCTCACAAGTCAGTTAAAAAGTTTTACAGTGAAGCTATCCATATAAATTATATGTTCTTTCATAAACATGTCCAAAGGCTATATTGCATAGAAATGGAAACAGCTATTTATTAATAATGATTTAAATTATTTGAAGCACAGTAGTTATAGTGGGACTCTCAATGGACGATCTTAAATCAAATGTTTCTCATACATAAATCATTAAAGCATCTTAAACACTTTCCTCAGAATGTGGCAGTCCTCTGAATAGGAGGGGGAGAATTTGGTTCCTCCATTTCTATGTTGCTTCTGTGAATTTGTTGATAGAATTGTATTCTTTGAAGTGTTGTTGTATAGTTAATATTCCATAATTAATATTGTATTTCATGACTATATTATCAAAAGACAAATATTAACACATTAGCATTATGCACTTTCTAGATTTTTTTGTCTTTTAAAATACATAACAAATATTAACAAATCAGTTTATAGTATTTATATTTTTGAAAAAATATCTTACCTTTTCCCTGAGAGGAACACTTAAGTGCCTAAGATGTAGGCATTTTTACAAGATAGTTTCATCATTACCATTGATCACTGAAGGCTGTGTATATCCTGTTTTTCCTTTCCTGAATGGAGCTATCTGTTGTACCTTTTTGCCTCAATGTATAGAACGAATAATCCTTGTTTCTTTCATTTATCAGTCTTCAGATCAAAACCATATAAAATAAAGGGAAGAACCCCAGTAGCTTCATTGCTCCAGGATCTATTTTAGCTTACCATTTTCTGGGTAATAAGTTAAGCCTGATGCTGTATTTGTGTGAGGCTATTGTAGTAATGGGGAAGGAATAGCCCTCTGATATTAAAAGTAACAAATTGGTTGGTAATGCAAAGGAAGTGGTTCTTTGGGTGTACATCTTAGTAAGAGTTGGAATCTAATATGTCTACCTTCCATCTGTCACCTTTCCTTCTTGAAGTGGAACAGGTTTGTACTTGCTTTGACAATGAAAATTGCTGTTTGACTCCAAATTCTAGATCGCAGAGGCCACAGACTTTTGTCTTGTTCACTGCACAGCTCATTCACAGATCCCTGAGCCGGCACACCATGATGCTGACAACACCCACGGAGAATCTCTATGTAGACATTCTACTGGGCAGTTCCAGCTGAATCCATCCTGTAGTTCAGAAAACTTCAGGACATTATTTCATGTGACTCTCATCCTGTTAGATTTTTCTGGCGGACAGTTAAGCTCCTTATGGAGCATATCAACATTTTCAAGGCTTTTTATGAATTTTATGTGGACAAGCATGGATTAGCTTTTTTCCTAGTACAAGTGTAGCCTTATATAAAATTACTTTTTTCTTAACTCTACAAAATTCCTTAAGTATTCAATGAAGATGTCACTTTTTGATTATTTCAACTTTGAAATTCTAGTCTTACATAATTATTTTAGAGAGAATAAAAAACAATAAAAACAATACGGAACTTAAAACAAGATGATAGGAAATTAACAATGGTTATTATATTGCATATTGTTATCTTCAAAGTAGTTCCTCAGATTACAAGATATAGGCATGTAAAATTGATCGAACAATATAAAAAAGTTGCTCCTTTCATTGTGCTAGTAGAAGTTAGTAGTACAATTATCTTAGTTATTTTGTGTATATATATATATATATATATATATATATACACAAAATTTTTCCTTCCTTCTTTCCTTCTTTTCTTCTCCTTCCCCATTGTTCTTTCCTTCTGAGCAGATTCTTTCCTTCTTGAAAAAATGTATAATTCCTCTATTATTCTTTACTTGCCCACATAAATTCTAATTTTGCACATACAAAACATTATTAGTAGAAGATTTTAGGGAACATTTATGCAAATTTAAGGAGCTAATTTACCACCTTTCAGTTGCATAAGTTCAAAGCCGAAACAATGTCGGTTGGCTCAGCTTCTCTTCAATCCTACATCTCTGTCCAGTCAGCAAGCCCTCCTGGCTCTGAGTCTTCATCACCCCGAAGACTACTCGGTAAATGCCATCAGGCAGGAAAGTAGTACGCTCACAGGGCTCACCTCACTTGTCTCCCTTCACTCGGGGCTGAGAACCTCATACTCTGCGTCTTGGTAATCTGAAAGGCTTATTGTGTATATTTTCTGTTTTAAATCTAGTTACAAAGGAGCAGAAGGTCATTCACAGTCTATTTTTATAGATTGACATATGTTAATATTAATAATTATCTCCACCAGAGTCATAGGTGTGTGCACGAAGGAGAAATATTCCTCAAATACATTAGACGATAATAATATCATAGTAATATTTTAACTTTAAAAATATTATAGTATACATTCTCTGTGTTAAATAAAATGCCAATACAACCACTGAAGTAAAATATATTTATAGGATATTATTAAAATACCCTTATAGATTCTATGATTTCAGGTATTTGAGATTTTATGAATATCTTTATGTAAAATCAAAATCTAAAATTTAAATGTTTACACTACATTTAATGGAAAATTTAAAATTTAGAATACAGAGCTTTGGTGTTACAAGCTCAAAGAAGGAAAAGAACTTACTAAAGGAAATTTCTCGTTTGAAAAGCAAGAGTGAAAGTAGGAAAACGTTTAGAGTTTTAATTTAGCCAATAGGCAATTTAAAATTACTCCACACAGATGCTTTTCTTTCTCTGATAATAAGATAATACTTTAAATTAATATATGCTTGTGCTTTTCAGTGTGATTTGTGGTTTTTCTGCATGAGTTCAAAATTGATTGCATTGGCTCAAGTAGGGGTGGAAATTCTAACCAAAATAGAGCCAAATGCAAATAAAACAAAATTTCAGTTCAGGTATTATTAAAATATGTTTATGCTTAGTTTGCCATACAATGATCAGTCAGCATTTACACCTATGAAAGATGGGTGAATTATTTATTTAAAATTAAGCCACTGCTCTCAGTCTTGGACTCTTTGCTACTGTCTTCTTTTAACAAGTTTGATTTTTTTTCCCTCATTTTTGGTGCCTTCTTTGTTATGTTTGTATTTATAATTCCTCATTGATATCTTAAATAGCACTCTTGTAGCTCTCAGAGCAAATGCTAGGATTATCAAACAAAATTCAGTGCAATAGACCCTTTAAAAAGTGAGATGTCCAATGAGCAATTATTTAGGAATTCTTCCAATGGAAATGAATGTCCTTAACTCTGGAATACTTTCAACAGTAAATTTCGTGTGCTCTAATTTGATGAGCTTAGAAAATCCAGGTGGTCTGTCCAGTCGTGAAAAAATTACACAAGCTGTGTGGCATCTATTACCACGGAATGAGTCGATACAGTGGTGAAAGGTAATTAGGGAGTTTACTGACAATCTATACTGTTTTTTCAAATCCTATAGCAGTTGCAAAGCTCAAGCTTTAAGTTTGCCTGTATGGATTTCATGTGACACAGAAGAAATAAGAAAATCACTCTGCATTGACAGAGAAACTTCAAGACTGACAATGAAATTCGAAAGGAAAAAACACTACTAGCATTAAAAACTGCTGGTTTTGAAATGTGAATTTTAGCAAAATTAAATATGCAAAGACATACAAAGGAAAATTTACATTATCATCAATTAGAACGATGACATTCACTTCTGGACTTCATACCCGAAAGATCTTTCCATCAACTGATAAATAGTTCTCCACTTCCAGTTGCCAGTCAGTCTTTCATTACAAGCTAGATGAAGGCATTGCCACATTATTATTGTTGTTATTGTCTTCATCGCTAAGTGGGGCACTATTTTTTTTACAGGCTTTGTTGTTGATCTGGTAACTATTCCCAGATATGCTTCATATACAAAGTGAGATACTACAGCAGCCAGCCTGGAATTAAATCTTTGCCATGAACGTTCACCAGGGACATATTATTAACCAGTGTGTCTCATTTCCTTGGAGGGAGTGTGTATGTGTGTGTGTGTGTGCGCGCGATTTGTTAGCATCCTCCAAATGTTAAACGTCGGTGAGAGAGTAAGATGTGTGATGCATACTACAAGGCAATCACCATGCACTGCCAACACGCACGCATGGAATAGGAAAGATGACATGTACATCGGGTGGTTACAGCAGCATCTGGTGAACAGAGATGACGTGCCTGCTGTGGTGACGTGCCGACAGCCTGAAAAGAGGCTGTGGCTGCAATCCACCCTCTCAGGCAGCCCCAACGCCCCGACGCCCCAGCGCCCCAGCGCCCCAGGGTCCCGCCGC